ACGGTGTGTTGTGTGTGAGAGCATTACCACTGTAATATACGGTGTGTTGTGTGTGAGAGTGTAATACCACTGTAATATACGGTGTGTTGTGTGTGAGAGTATTACCACTGTAATATACGGTGTGTTGTGTGTGAGAGTATTACCACTGTAATATACGGGTGTTGTGTGTGAGAGTATTACCACTGTAATATACGGTGTGTTGTGTGTGAGAGTGTAATACCACTGTAATATACGGTGTGTTGTGTGTGAGAGTGTAATACCATTGTACTGTATGGTGTCGTTATTATATGTTCGGGTTAAGTGAGATTCTTGTGCAGTAATCTTTTGTCGTGTATCTTTTTAATATATTTCTGTCGTTTTGTATCGCACTGTTTTAAATAAAATAAAAAAAAAATTCAAACACTTATAACTAATTCCCACACTTCTCCCACTCAAACTCCCTGACTCACTTGTTCATTTTGGTTGATCGGGAGAAGAAAAGGAACAATGCAAAGGGGAAGATTCTTGCAATGTAGGATTACTACCAAAACAGCTTCAACACGCGCACACACACCCAGAGGTACGGCAAAGAAGCAGGAGTCAGTTAATGTTTTGCCACTCACCACCAAGGCCCCGCTGCCTTCGAAGCATAACAACAACCATTCAGGTGTCAGTGCTTCCCTACCCTCATTACTACCAGCGCTCTGCTGCCCTCATACCACCAGTGCTCCACTGCCCTCTTTACCAACAGTTCTCCGCTGCCCTCATTACCAACAGTGCTCCACTGCTATTAACATCAGTCAAGGGCTGCTTGACAGCGAGAATGATCAGCAGTGAGCAGATATTAACAAAATGCGTATCTGAGTTGAGTATTCTGGGATCTGGATTATTAAGGTTGTGTCAGGCAAACACTGACGCTGTTGTGAATGCCAGTTTAGTATGTAAATAAAGCAGCTGAGATAGTGTTTTTGTTCATTATATGATGGTGCTTTTGTTCAATATATGCATGAATATAAGTGCTTAGGGACTAGCAGAGCGTGCATAGTTCCTTTGTATAAAGGAACAAGCATGCTGAGTATACCGAGTAAAATGCATATGATAGTTATTATTAAAAGAATTATGGGCACGACAGGTAGTAGGATTGCAAAATAACAAGGAGGGTTTTGTAAATTAAGGTGATACATAAACCAAGTGGTCACATCAAAACACATATGTGAACAATAATTGGATATAAGTAAGGAAATTTTCATTGCATTTATTGATTTAAAAGAGGCATGTGATATAGTAGGGTAGCAATGTTGCAGAAGGTGCAAAAGAATGGAAAAGATGATAGGTTACGTAAAGCAGTAAAAAAGGGTTTTTGTGTATAGTGAGACTCGGGTTAGGGTATCTAGGAGACTGGGAAATTATTATCCAGTAAAAGTAGGTCGTACCTGTCCTGAGCTGTTTCGGGGGATTAGTGTAAACCTGGAGTATACCTGTAGAGGGTTTCGGGGATCAACGCCACCGCAGGCTGGTCTGTGACCAGTCCTTGCGGTGGTTAAGAGCCTGATCGACCAGGCTGTTACTGTTGGCCGCACGCAAACCGACGTACGAACCACAGCCCACCTGGTCAGGTAACGTCTTTAGGTGGCTGTCCAGCGCCTTCTTGAAAACAGCCAGAGGTCTATTTATAATCCCCCTTTTGTATGCTGGGAGGCAGTCGACAGTCTTGGGGCCTCTGACACTTATTGTGTTCTCTCTGTGTACTCGTGGCGCCCCTGCTTTTCATTGGGGAGATGTTGCATCTCTTGCCCAGTCTTTTGCTTTCGTACTGAGTGATTTTCTTGTGCAAATTTGTGACTAGTTTCTCAAGAATTTCCAAATGTATATTATCAAGTATTTTTCTATCCTGCGTTCCAGGGAGTGCAAATCAATGGACTTAACCGTTCCCAGCAGTTTACGTGCTTTATCGTATTTATACGTGCCGTGAAAGTTCTCTGTATATTCTCCAGGTCTGCAATTTCACCTGCTTTGAAAGGGGCCGTGAGTGTGCAGCAATATTTCTGCCTAGAGAGAACAAGTGATTTGATGTGAATCATCATGGGCTAGGCATCCCTGGTGTTGAAGGTTCTCATTATCCATCCTATCATTTTCCTATCATCGGTGGTAGATACATTGTTGTGGTTTTTTAAAGTGAGCTCCGGATACCCCGAACTTTGCTGCTTCTGGCTACAAATATATAAATGCCTAAATTTAAACAGAATATCTCACACCCCTTTGATTCGTTCTGCCCCCCTCCCCCTCTTGTGTTATCCTCCCCTTTTACCCATCTCTCCTAATTTCCCCTTTCCTTTTCACTCTCACTTCCTTTCTCTTCCATCTTCCTTCTCACCCCTGTCTCCTCTCCCTTTTCCTATCTTTCATCACCTCCCTTCCATCTCCTCTCCTCCAGCAACCTCACACCACAACCTAATCAGCGCCGGCATCAAGCCCCCAGGAACATTCTACACCCAAGTTAACAATGCAATTTGGCCACAACTCTCCGCTGCTAATGATGTTAATGTTAGTTTCTCCAAGCAGCTTAATAAAGCTGTTTGCTTCTAGTTACTCTGTGTCGACATCAACAGCAGGTGAGCTTTAACAGCAAGATAATCATTTCTCAGCGGCCTAAGCAGAGAGGCGAGTCTGCTTTACCTACCTACCTGGTGTCTACCTAGAGGGTATTCCGGGGATCAACGCCCCCGTGGCTCGCTCCACGACCAGGCCTCCCGGGCCGCGGGGTTGTTGATCCCCGGAATACCCTCCAGGTAGACTCCAGGTAGATTCCAAGTAGGTAGGTAAAGCAGACTCGTCTCTACACTTACTAACGCATTTATTAATAATACCTAAAGATATTTAGATAAATGTCTATTTTGCATTTTTTCTGGGATTATTATAATTATTCTATGATTATTATACTTGTAGATCCATTAAGCGCTCAACTGCATGGACCACCACCACCACTCCTTGCAGAGTGCAAGGAGTGTGGTGATGGTGGTCTAGCTGATCTTGGGTAGAGAAAAATGAGTGACGCAATTCAGTATTTTAAAGCACTAGGCCCAGACCTGTGTGTCTCTGTCCCTTGTTTGTTCCTGCGTCTTTACTTGTTTTGTATCTGTTCTTATTATATATCTCTACTTATCCTGTAAGTGTACCTGACCTTTATCTGTACTTGTCCTGCATTTTCCTGTACATGTACCTGACCTTGATCCCAACATGTCTTGCATCTGTCCTAGATGTATACCTAACCTTCATCTGTACGTGTCCTGTATGCGTATCAAGCCTTTATATGTACTTGTCTTGAATATGTGCTGCATCTTGCATATGTACTTGCACATGTATTACATCTTACATATGTACTTGTCCTCCATCTGTTGCTGGCCTGTATCTGTATTGTCGTGTAACTGAACTTGTCCTGTTGATGAAATACACTTAAGACTTCTGAACTGGATGCATTTAGGGCGTTGGAACAATTGTCATTCCAAATGATATAAGAGAAAAAACACAGTATGTTTAGCGAGGAAATTCATTGATAAAAGTCAGGTGATGGAGTCATCTAATTGATGCGCCACGTAGCAGCAGAGAGCTGTATCATGTGAATTTGCCAACTCTTTGTTCTATGGCATTGGCAGTTGCAATTAATGATGCTTCACTACAGAGGCGCAGGTCCCTGTTTGATTCTCTGTTCATGATTTCTGCTTTGTTGCAACGCATGAAATAACTCCCGTTTGATCAGTGTTGCTGTCCTGGTTTGTTTGTGTTCTTGTAGAATAATTCCTCCCCGTTTCTCCTACGTAGATATTGTTGCACCGTCTGCATGGTATAGTGTACATTTCAGCTTCACTATTGGGCGTGTCGCTGGAATCTTTCTTCCAGAAGAGGTCTGTGATGGAAGGCTGGGCAGAGGCACCTACACGGATACAGCTTCTTGCAAGCGTCTGTGTGAAGTTTGACCAATTCTCATTCCAGCAGAATACAGAATCTGTGTTTTTTGAGGGTAGTGTTGGTGGTTGAGTTTAATGTTATCTCTGCGTTTGCAATGGCTTTCTTTTGTGCTTAACAATATTTTATTATATGTAATGTTCATTTTGTAATACCGCAGAAAGAAATAGTTTGTTATAATGTAAGAAGTGAAATATGAATATGTATATATATAATTATATATAAAATATATATATAATATATATATATATATATAAAATATATATATATATATATATATATTGATTTTTATGCAGCCCACATTGCAACACAGCGATCAGGTGACCTTGTTTCCAAGATGATTAAACCTTGCCTGTCTCTTGCCTAAACCTGACCTGACACCTTTTTATTCTGATGTTTTTTTTACGCATGATTTTACAAGGTTAGGTTAAGGATTATTAACTTTATGTACAAGGCAAGGACGGTCACCTACATCATCTATTATATATCCTGTGTTTCATGTTTTATTCCTGGAGTGAACAAGGATTCAATACCGAAGTGTTATTCATAAAATTGTTTGAAGTGCTTGCCCACGTGTCTTTTTCTTTATTGTATCGGTGTCTGATATCTGTTGTTAGTTCTCCCCTCAAGGAAGGTTCCTTGATGTTGGTGAGGGGCTCTTGATTTAGGGAATTGGATCTGTGCTCCAGTTCCCCGAATTAAGCCTGAATGCCTTCCACATCCCCCCCCCAGGCGCTGTATAATCCTCCGGGTTTAGCGCTTCCCCCTTGATAATAATAATAATAATGTTAGTTCTTAGTCCTGATCACTTTTATTTAAAGACAGCGACAGAATTGGCTCATCAGTAGTGGGGTAAACCTATGGCTTCAAGGACATCGGTTTGGTCCCCAGTACTCCATAAACATTTTGTTGCTTTCACGATAAACAAGAGCGGGAGAGACGGGGGGGGGAAGAGAGGGAGAGGGAGGAAGGAGAGGTAGGCGAGAAATAGGGAGATGCAGGAAGTCTAACACAATTTTGCATTTAAAACTCTCGCCAATGTATCTAACCCAATGCAGGTCTCTTCCTCAGGTCGTCACTAGAGCCGCTGTGTCTGCAACGCCGCTGAGTGTATCTGCAACGCCGCTGAGTGTATCTACAACGCCGCTGAGTGTATCTGCAACGCCGCTGAGTGTATCTACAACGCCGCTGAGTGTATCTGCAGCGCCGCTGAGTGTATCTACAACGCCGCTGAGTGTATCTGCAACGCCGCTGAGTGTATCTACAACGCCGCTGAGTGTATCTGCAACCCCGTTGAGTATATCTACAACGCCACTGAGTGTGTCTACAACACTTGAAGATGAGAGCAAGGCTGCAGCCTCTACTGTTGCTGCTGGTGCCAGCTCTCTTGCTTGTGCTCTGGGCCGGCGTGGGCGAGGCGCAGAGGAGCCACACGCAGGAGCAAGATGTGGGCAGTAGGGGCAAGAAGGGGGGCGGCATGGGCGTAGGGGCGTGCAAGAATGGAGATCACCAGCCACGCCTCTCGCTCTCAGCCCGCGTTCAGAGAGCTCAGGTAAAGTTTATGACGGTTTTATGGCATTAATCTGGGATGATTATTCTTCTTTCCCATTCAGTGATGGGCCTTGATGTTGGTAGAAGGCTCTTGGTCCATGGAGTTGGAGATATCTTCTTTCTTGGAATGACGATGATTCTTCCCATTCCTAGTCTCTCTTTCTTAACTTAGGTAACTTAGGGATAATAATGATAACTTTCTCTTTTCTTAGAGTAAATTAGATGGGTAGGTTAATAAATGAGAGAAGCGGGATAGGAGCGATAATGAGAGGTCACGAATAAAATAAAAAAATAGAAAGAGAGGAAACGAAATGATTGCAAGGTAAAGATGAGAATTGTTAGGGTAAAAACGAGATAAAGAACCCAAAGAATGAGAGAAATGAGAATGAAAGACTATAAGAATATTGAACGTCTTCAAATAAGAATAATTAAATCTAAGAGACGTATACAATTACTGACAATAATAATGACAAAATAACCAAACAATTGCAAGTTGTTATAGTAAACTCGGATAAAGATTTTATTCCAAAACAAAGAATATATATGCTAGACAAAGTTTAAATAATAAGTCACTAAGTGAATGTCGAAAGACGACAAAACTTGTGACAAAAAAAAAAAAAACTGTTATGCGAGTAGAAAGTTTGTGTACATCCAGGCATTGTTTGTGTACATCCAGGTATTGTTTGTGTACATCCAGGCATTGTTTGTGTACATCCAGGCATTGTTTGTGTACATCCAGGTATTGTTTGTGTACATCCAGGCATTGTTTGTGTACATCCAGGTATTGTTTGTGTACATCCAGGCATTGTTTGTGTACATCCAGGCATTGTTTGTGTACATCCAGGCATTGTGTACATCCAGGCATTGTTTGTGTACATCCAGGCATTGTCTGTGTACATCCAGGCATTGTTTGTGTACATCCAGGCATTGTTTGTGTACATCCAGGTATATGTTTGTGGTACATCCAGGCATTGTTTGTGTACATCCAGGCATTGTTTGTGTACATCCAGGTATTGTTTGTGTACATCCAGGCATTGTTTGTGTACATCCAGGCATTGTTTGTGTACATCCAGGCATTGTTTGTGTACATCCAGGCATTGTTTGTGTACATCCAGGCATTGTTTGTGTACATCCAGGCATTGTCTGTGTACATCCAGGCATTGTTTGTGTACATCCAGGCATTGTTTGTGTACATCCAGGCATTGTCTGTGTACATCCAAGGCATTGTCCTGTGTACATCCAGGCATTGTCTGTGTACATCCAGGCATTGTTTGTGTACATCCAGGCATTGTCTGTGTACATCCAGGCATTGTCTGTGTACATCCAGCATTGTCCTGTGTACATCCAGGCATGTCTTGTACATCCAGGCATTGTCTGTGTACATCCAGGCATTGTCTGTGTACATCCAGGCATTGTCTGTGTACATCCAGGCATTGTCTGTGTACATCCAGGCATTGTCTGTGTACATCCAGGCATTGTCTGTGTACATCCAGGCATTGTCTGTGTACATCCAGGCATTGTCTGTGTACATCCAGGCATTGTTTGTGTACATCCAGGCATTGTTTGTGTACATCCAGGCATTGTCTGTGTACATCCAGGCATTGTCTGTGTACATCCAGGCATTGTTTGTGTACATCCAGGCATTGTTTGTGTACATCCAGGCATTGTTTGTGTACATCCAGGCATTGTGTACATCCAGGCATTGTGTACATCCAGGCATTGTCTGTGTACATCCAGGCATTGTTTGTGTACATACAGGCATTGTCTGTGTACATCCAGGCATTGTGTACATCCAGGCATTGTCTGTGTACATCCAGGCATTGTCTGTGTACATCCAGGCATTGTCTGTGTACATCCAGGCATTGTCTGTGTACATCCAGGCATTGTTTGTGTACATCCAGGCATTGTTTGTGTACATCCAGGCATTGTCTGTGTACATCCAGGCATTGTCTGTGTACATCCAGGCATTGTTTGTGTACATACCAGGCATTGTTTGTGTACATCCAGCATTGTCTGTGTACATCCAGGCATTGTCTGTGTACATCCAGGCATTGTCTGTGTACATCCAGGCATTGTCTGTGTACATCCAGGCATTGTTTGTGTACATCCAGGCATTGTCTGTGTACATCCAGGCATAGTCTGTGTACATCCAGGCATTGTCTGTGTACATCCAGGCATTGTTTGTGTACACAGGCATTGTCTGTGTACATCCAGGCATTGTCTGTGTACATCCAGGCATTGTCTGTGTACATCCAGGCATTGTCTGTGTACATCCAGGCATTGTCTGTGACAATCCAGGCATTGTCTGTGTACATCCAGGCATTGTCTGTGTACATCCAGCATTGTCTGTGTACATCCAGCATTGTGTACATCCAGGCATTGTTTGTGTACATCCAGCATTGTTTGTGTACATCCAGGCATTGTCTGTGTACATCCAGGCATTGTCTGTGTACATCCAGGCATTGTCTGTGTACATCCAGGCATTGTCTGTGTACATCCAGGCATTGTTTGTGTACATCCAGGCATGTCTTGTGTACATCCAGGCATTGTCTGTGTACATCCAGGCATTGTCTGTGTACATCCAGGCATTGTCTGTGTACATCCAGGCATTGTCTGTGTACATCCAGGCATTGTCTGTGTACATCCAGGCATTGTCTGTGTACATCCAGGCATTGTCTGTGTACATCCAGGCATTGTCTGTGTACATCCAGGCATTGTCTGTGTACATCCAGGCATTGTCTGTGTACATCCGGCATTGTTTGTGTACATCCAGGCATTGTCTGTGTACATCCAGGCATTGTCTGTGTACATCCAGGCATTGTCTGTGTACATCCAGGCATTGTTTGTGTACATCCAGGCATTGTCTGTGTACATCCAGGCATTGTGTACATCCAGGCATTGTCTGTGTACATCCAGGCATTGTCTGTGTACATCCAGGCATTGTCTGTGTACATCCAGGCATTGTTTGTGTACATCCAGGCATTGTCTGTGTACATCCAGGCATTGTTTGTGTACATCCAGGCATTGTTTGTGTACATCCAGGCATTGTCTGTGTACATCCAGGCATTGTTTGTGTACACCCAGGCATTGTTTGTGTACATCCAGGCATTGTCTGTGTACATCCAGGCATTGTCTGTGTACATCCAGGCATTGTTTGTGTACATCCAGGCATTGTCTGTGTACATCCAGGCATTGTTTGTGTACATCCAGGCATTGTCTGTGTACATCCAGGCATTGTCTGTGTACATCCAGGCATTGTCTGTGTACATCCAGGCATTGTTTGTGTACATCCAGGCATTGTCTGTGTAAAATCCAGGCATTGTTTGTGTACATCCGGCATTGTCTGTGTACACCAGGCATTGTCTGTGTACATCCAGGCATTGATCGTGTACATCCAGGCATTGTTTGTGTACATCCAGGCATTGTCTGTGTACATCCAGGCATTGTCTGTGTCCCATCCAGCATTGTCTGTGTACATCCAGGCATTGTTTGTGTACATCCAGGAAATTGTCTGTGTACATCCAGGCATTGTTTTGTAACATCCAGGCATTGCCCTGTGTACATCCCGGCATTGACGTGTACATCCGGGCATTGTTTGTGTACATCCGGGCATGTCTGTGTAAAATCCAGGCATTGTCTGTGTACATCCAGCATTGTCTGTTTTACATCCAGGCATTGTTTGTGTACATCCAGGCATTGTCTGTGTACATCCAGGCATTGTTTGTGTACATCCAGGCATTGCTGTGAACATCCAGGCATTGCTTGTACATCCAGGCATTTTTTTGTGTACACCAGGCATTGTCTGTGTACATCCAGCATTGTCGTGTACATCCAGCATTGTCTGTGTACATCCAGGCATTGTCTGTGGTCATCCAGGCATTGGTCTGTGTACATCCGGGCCCATTGTCTGTGTACACCCCAGGCATTGTCTGTGTACATCCAGGCATTGTCTGTGTACATCCAGGCAATTGTCTGGTACATCCAGGCATGATCGTTTTACATCCAGGCATTGTTTGTGTACATCCAGGCATTGTCTGGGGTAAAACCAGGCATTGATCGTTACATCCGGGCATTGTTTGTGTACACCAAAGGCATTGTCGTGTACATCCAGGCATTGTCTGTTACATCCAGGCATTGATCGTGTAAAATCCAAAGGCATTGTTTGTGTACACCAGGCATTGTCTGTGTACATCCAGGCATTGTCTGTGTACATCCAGGCATTGTTTGTGTACATCCGGGCATTGTTTGTGTACATCCAGGCTTTTGTTTGTGTACATCCGGGCATGTCTGTGTACATCCAGGCATTGTGTACATCCGGGGCATTGCCCTGTGTACATCCAGGCATTGTTTGTGTACATCCAGGCATTGTCTGTGTACATCAGGCATTGTTTGTGTACATCCAGGCATTGTTTGTGTACATCCAGGCATTGTTTGTGTACATCCGGGGCATTTTGTGTACATCCAGGCATTTTTCTGTGTACATCCAGGCATTGTCTGTGTAAAATCCAGGCTTTGTTTGTGTACATCCAGGCATTGTCTGTGTACATCCAAAGGCATTGTTTGTGAAACATCCGGGCATTGTTTGTGTACATCCGGGCATTGTCTGTGTACATCCGGCATTGTCTGTGTATATCCAGGCATTGTCTGTGTATATCCAGGCAATTGTTTGTGTACATCCAGGCATTGTTTGTGTACATCCAGGCATTGCCCTGTGTACATCCGGGCATTGTCTGTGTACATCCAGCATTGTCTGTGTACATCCAGGCATTGTTTGTGTACATCCAGGCATTGTCTGTGTACACCGGGCATTGTTTTGTGTACATCCAGGGCATTGTCTGTGTACATCCAGCATTGTTTGTGTACATCCGGGCATTGTCTGTGTACATCCAGGCATTTTTTTGTGTACATCCAGGCATTGTCTGTGCATCCAGCATTGTCTGTGTACATCCAGGCATTGTCGTGTAAAATCCAGGCATTGTCTGTGTACATCCAGGCATTGTC